ATAATAACTCAGTGAAACTGAGCTTTATTACCCTGTTTTGTTTTGTTCATTTTATTTCAATGACGTAAACAGTACAAAAGTTCACCTTGGAAAAAGAAAAGAAAAAATAAAATAATACCCAAAATAAAGCAAAAATACTCTTCAGCATCGCTCCAGCTTTTCTGTTCTGTTTCTCTTATTTAATCCCACCATCAGTTTGTATTTATCCAACTTCCTTACTGACATAAACTGTGATGACAACAACATACGTCTCTCTAATAGCAGAATATATACACTATGTAAAATCCAATGATTATACATTCAGCTCCATAACTTTACCTCCACACAAACTGAGTAACTCCACTTTTGGAAAGTTACTAGTAAACTCTGCAGCTCTGCTCACTGCAGTGACTCATGTGTGCTGTTAGGTTACATGTTTTCACTGTGGTATTTGTGTCGCAGTGTTTGTTTAGTATTTCATGTCTTGATTTCTTTAATCATATTTTTCACAGTGAAATAAATGAAATAATTAAACCTCCCGTCCTTCGTTTGTCTCGTTCTTCTTCAGCCTGCAAGTCTGCAAACATCGACCTGGTGCTTCTGATCGACGGCTCAAAGAGCGTCCGCCCTCAAAACTTTGAGCTTGTCAAAAAGTTTGTTAACCAGGTTGGAAGTATTTTCTAACACACTGAGTGTTTTACTGCCAAATTGCAGGATTATTTCATATGTCCATACCTGCACATGCAGGACGGTCACAGAATAAAACAATGCCATCAAATATGAATTACTGCAGGAGGAAGAAATCTTGTTTTGGCTCCAGAAATAATAATAAAACAACATGTCCTGGACATTCAGCAAAAATATATTTTACATATTAAATCTTAGGTAGTGATACTTCTTGACATCTTTGTCTGATATCTTAAAAACTATCAAATAATCTTAAAATAATAAAATGCTGAATATTCATCACCTCACCTGGGTCCCTGCAGGTCGTCGACTCTCTGGACGTGTCTGCTCACGGTACCAGAGTCGGTCTGGTTCAGTACTCGAGCCGGGTCAGGACCGAGTTTCCCCTCAACATGTACCACACAGCTGATGAGATCAAAGCTGCAGTCATGAAGGTAGTGCTTCTGTTTGTTTGTTTGTTTGGTTGTTTTGTTTTTTTCTTTCCTTTTTTTGTTTGTTTGTTTGTTTTGTTTTTTCTTTCCTTTTTTGTTTGTTTGTTTGTTTGTTTTGTTTTTCTTTCCTTTTTTTTGTTTGTTTGTTTCTTTCTTTCCTTTTTTTGTTTGTTTGTTTTGTTTTTTCTTTCCTTTTTTTGTTTGTTTGTTTTGTTTTTTCTTTCCTTTTTTTGTTTGTTTGTTTTGTTTTTTCTCTCCTTTTTTTGTTTGTTTGTTGGTTTGTTTTGTTTTTTCTTTCCTTTTTTCTTTCCTTTTTTCTTTCCTTTTTTGTTTGTTTGTTGTAGCCGTGACAGACAGTTTGAAACATCAAGCTGTGGAAGTAACTTAAACCTGCATTCTTGCTAGTGGCCAGCAGGGGGCAGTTCTTGCTTCTTCCTAAAGAAGCCCAGCTGTAAAGTAAATGAGAGAAGTTATCCCGCTGATCTGTGACACACAGGTGGCGCCAGTATTGTGAGATTGTAATACTTGCGTGACGCTTAAAGTCAGCATAAAGATTCATGTACAGGCATATTTTACATATACATACAGACCCTCAGCAGTGACCTGCAGTTAATGAAATCCTGAATAAAAAGATGAAACGTGCACCATGTTTGGGCCCTGCTCAGCTGCATGACTCTAAATGTTGTTACTGTCCATGTTCAGGTTGATTACATGGAGAAAGGTACGATGACCGGCCTGGCCCTGAAGCACATGCTGGAAAACAGCTTCTCTGAGGCAGAAGGCGCTCGTCCTCTGAGCCGCAACATTCCACGAATCGGGCTGGTTTTCACAGACGGGCGCTCCCAGGATGACATCACCGAGTACGCCAAGAAGGCCAAAGAAGCCGGTAAGACCCAGGATATGTGTAGCTCAGTGTCTGAATCAAGCAGTGCAGCCGTTATCATGTGACCCTGCACCTGTGCATGTACGCAGGCATCAACATGTACGCGGTGGGTGTTGGAAAAGCGGTGGAAGATGAGCTCCGTGAGATCGCGTCTGAGCCTGTGGAGAAGCATTTCTATTACACCACTGACTTCACCGCCATCAGCACCATCGCTGAAAACCTCAAACTCAATGTCTGCCCAGGTAACATGCTCTACTAGACCTGACCACAGCGTATAAAACAGCAAGTAAACAGACAAGTTAATCTGACAGCATATTATTGGTTCATATTCTGAGGCTTGCTTTCTGCCACAGGAAGTGAAAAAGCTCTATCACCTTTTTTCTTTCCTGCAATGAATAAACTAAGGTGGAAGCATAAAAAACTACCAATGTGAACTTTATGAGACTTATTAAAGAGATGAAGAATGTGCAAACAATGCATTAAATCCTGGCCTTGGGAGAGCGCTGTGTTTTTAATCCTCTTTAAGTTTTTAATATTTTTTTAATACTTTTTATTTAAACAGGAAAAACATCCAGAAAGTAAGAGAGGATCCTCCCTAAGAGGATAATTATATAAAAACCTGTGCTCTGTTTTTTACTACTATGGTTTAAAAATCTTCCTCGCTTCATGCAGCTTATATAATGGTGAAGGTCATTGGTTGATTGCACAAATAAAGCACATTACAACCTTTTATACACTTAGAGAAGAGTTTTGTGCCATAAACAGCTGAAATTGATAACATTCATCATTTTAATATCAAAAGATTTTGGTCAAAGCTTCAGAAGAACTTTCATGTGATGGTTTGTGCGGTTTTTACTGGTAATTCATTGTAACAATGTCTTGTCTTTGTCGCCCTCTACTGACAGAATTACAACATGACAGTTGCAGAAAAAGAGCACTAAAAACAAAGCAGTTACAAAACATTTTTCCTGAGTGTAATAATACTGTACCGAACATTAAATCCTCAGGTTAAAAAAATAATAATAGTAGTTTATTGGTTTGGAGCTCTAAGTAGACATTAAAGCTAAACAGGGATCATTTAAAAAATTAAACTACAGCACTTCATCGCATCTTATGAGCAATGTCTGCACCTTCAAGATAACTGAAATTAGTACAATGTATATACAGATAAAGAATATTATATATATTCATATATTTTTCCTTCTGCAGAGGAGAGTCAGGGCGAGATTGAGGTGAAGAACCCCTGTGCATGTGAAAGTCTGGTGGAGTTCCAGCAGGCCACTATGAACAGCCTGGAGCAGCTCACACAGAAACATATCCTTTAAAACAAAA